ATGTGCTGGAATACTGTTTGTTAGAGAAGACATTCAAATGTTTGTTTTTATATGTAACTTGATATAGAAACAAAACTATGTTGAAGTCAGATTGTGTGTAGATTTTATTCTGACAGATCCAGTCTCTCTCCTTGATAACTGATGATTGATCCTAACAATTGTAGCCTTGGTAAAGTCAGGGTTTTGGTTAAAAAGCTAAAGGCCAGTCAGCATTTTAATCTTCTCCTGATGTAAAACTGGATGTTCTTTGGATGATCTTTGATGGGGACTGTATGAATGAGGAAATCCACCCCTATGTCAGGAACCTCTTCAGGCAGGTCAGTAGGAGACAAAGAGAAACACAGGGTTTGTAGACGAAAAACTGTCAGTAGGCAGGTCAGCCTTACAGTTTAAGATTCCGTTGTAAGAGTCATGATAGCAGGCTAAAACTCAGAGTTCATCGAGCCCACTTCCTGAAACAGGCCACAGATTCCTGCAGGTTGTTTGGACGTAATCATGTTTGTTGTTTCCTCAGGGGGAGCAAAGGCAAAGACATCAGCACCATCAAGTCACTGAGGGTTCTCCGAGTCCTCAGGCCGCTCAAGACCATCAAACGACTGCCCAAATTAAAGGTTCTGCTCCTTTACTGTTATTCACTTTATTTTGATTATTGTAACCAGGTTAGTGGGGCTCTGTGGTTGTCCGGGTAGGGAAATATAATGTCATAAGAGTTTTTCTTTAGCAAAATACTGTACTTCTTTAAAATTTTAATTATCTGTGACATACACAACATACTGATAATCAAGCTTGCCCAAAGGACCCTGAAGACCCAGAGAATGATTATACCATAACATAACTACCTAACATTTTCCCTACCCTGTCCCACTGGTTCCCACTGAAGACACATATATTCTCACTAATATACAGTTTAAATGGTTGAAGAGAAATGGGACATCACTATACCCCATTACGGCCACGCGCAAAACAGAGGGATAGGGCCAAGTGGTAGTGCTAAGGGGTGAATTGACAGAATCAGATTCTAATGCAGTAAATATGGTTGTGGTCAAGAAAGGAGCATTCTGACAATTTGACAAATCATTTTCCCCTTGATCCCCAAATGAACTGTGTGTGTCTCTGTGTGTCCTCAGGCAGTGTTCGACTGTGTGGTAAACTCTCTGAAGAACGTGCTGAACATCCTCATCGTCTACATGCTCTTCATGTTCATCTTTGCTGTTATTGCAGTTCAGCTCTTCAAAGGGAAATTCTTCTACTGCACAGACGAGTCCAAGGGGCTAGAGAAGGACTGCAAGTTGGTCTCAAATCCCCAAATTCCTCATTTCTCATTTTATTCACTTTTTAAATGTAAACATCCAACCACTGGTGAGGTAATAACCAGACCACACCCATGTACCAGTCTCTCCCCACTCAGCTTTATTTATGCTTTCATGTCTTCCAGAGGTCAGTTCTTGGACTATGACAAAGACGAGGTAGCTGCCATGCCCAGAGAGTGGAGAAAGTATGAGTTCCACTATGACAATGTGCTGTGGGCCTTCCTGACCCTCTTCACTGTGTCTACTGGGGAGGGTTGGCCAACGTAAGTGCAGCTCCCTCTTTGATTTAAAGACTTGTGTGATGCTAAACTAAACCCATGATAGACTGGACACCTGGAAAACAGGATTCATAAACATAACATAAATGATG